GAGAGAGAGAGAGAGAGAGAGAGAGAGAGAGAGAGAGAGAGAGAATAATCCAGACGAAAGGAAACTCGATATCCCCAAGAAATCGATAATAACTGACAATTGAAACCATAGAAACAATTCAGAAAAATTATAATTGACGAATAGAGAATAACTGAAGAAAGTGATTTGAAAACTGCAATTTTATCCACTTGACTAACCACGACGGCGAATATCTATTGGGTGTAGAGGAAAAACTCGAGGAGTAAATTGGTCGTGTGTTTCACAGATGATTTGATTCTTCCGTGAGCCGTGACAACGAGTACAACCACTGCTGGATTTTTAATACTCTCAATTGTTGTTTTATCGTTGTGGATAGATAAAGGGGGGAAAAAGTGACAGTGACGGTGCAACACATCTTCACCTTTCTCTCGTGACTCGACCAGTGAGTGTGACATAATTGAAGAAAGTGTAACCGGAATTTAAACTTGTTATTATCAATGGGTATGTCAAGCAGGTTCACCTTCCGCGTTATTTGTGGATGGCATATTATTGGAGAACATTGACAAGTGATTAATGAGGCTGTGATAAATATTTTTTCATAAATTCTTTTATTAACAAAATTAAACAAAGTGGATTGAAAATGTCGTCGAACGGTGAATTTTCATCAATATCAAGTGGAGAAATTCCATCATTACCAAAATCTCTGCCTAGCTCACGTGAAGCAACGGCCGAGGGTAACTCAAGTTCATCGGGTGGTTTTATGCCACTGCGTGAGTTTCTCGATCGATTCTCATTACCGAGAGTCGTGAGACTCGAGGGCACCGGTGGCAGACCAGTATTACTCTACAAACAACAACAGCGATCGTTACGTGTCACTGCTACACTGCTAATTCATCGTTATCGTCATGACGTTAAAATCGGACCGGAAATAGTCATTCCCGAGGGATATCCTGGTGAGTTTACCTGTCCCGTTATCACTGGCTTTTCTCAGCCAGTGATCACAACAGTGTTGGTTATCTCGGCTTGTTTTTTTTTTTTTCATTCACCTTTTTTACACCTTTTCTTCCCCCTTTATATGTTGATGCGCTGGGAAAACCAGTTCCGTGTGTATTATAGCCCCCCTTTATATTATACCATCGTGTGGATGATTGAGAGTGTGCCCAGTACTGCTCTCAACATGAGGAAATAATTCAATATGAAATGGAGGTAAAACTAATAAAGTATCATGCGATGTTGGAAATTTATGGCTGATTTTCCAAATGGAAGGTTCTTCAAATTCATAAGACCGAAATTAGCGAGACATTCACCAGTAAAAGATTTAATTATTCAAGTATTTTGGTCAGTTTTTTCGTCAAATTGTTCTTCTAGATTTGCAGCTGAACATCAGAGCTTGCATTTCAACCCATCTGACCCCAAATTTCCGGAAATTTTACCATCACTTTGTTATTCCAAACTTTACAGACAATTGTGATACTGTAAAATGAATCGATAGAAATTCAAGTAGAACCTGTTTAGTCTATACTATAATCACTGAGATAAGAGCGCGACGAACAAGAAGGTGAGGGAACTCCTGTGGTGAAATGTTTGATAATTCGATTAGACACGTAACAAAATATGTCGTTTTTTTTCCATCCGTGGAACCTTTTCGCGAGGGAACAATATGATACAATTCATGTACATTTTTAGAGTATTTCATTCACGAATTTATACGTATCGCTTAGAATATATTGGAGTTTAACTCCTCAATATACCTTTGCTTACTGAGATGATGCGACAATGTGCTGAGCCGAATTAAATGTTGATAGCTTTAACGATTGGGATGTCAAACATTTTCTTAGCAATCTGCAGATCCATGCTAGAGTACTCAAATTCAGTTTTCATTCTTCCATGTAAAATAGCGAAATTTTACTGCAATCATAAATGTAAAAAATTCTTATGTCTTATCGGTCAGTTTATTTGTATAGTATTCAACAAACTTCAACGTTTCAACCCTAACTCTGGGTCATGTTCACGATAATTACACAATCGAATAGAATTTTAGGGTTTTTCATTTGTCTTATCTTGTACCAATTGGCAGGAGAAAATTCGTCTCCTGTCTCGTTGAATATGAGCAACAGAGAAACATTCTTGTCTTGTCTTGAGTTCTCTTGTGAACCTCGACAATTTCATTTCTCAATTCCGTGAGATTAAGAAATTGAGTGTTCCTCGTTTTGGCTCGTGTGGCTCGAGATTAGTTGACAATTTGTGCATCCTGTGTTCCTTCAGAACGGTTGTTTTCAAAAGCTGGTCTCAACATCAGAAAAAACCGGAGTAGATTGAGTACCAAAAATGTTGAGTACTTGCTGTGTATGAATTCATGGTTCTCATCTCCACTAGCTCCGATGATAAAAGATGCGCTATTCGAGAAGAAAGATTAATATAATCGAGGAATACATAATTCTTCACAATATCTAGGGGTAGATAAAGTGTTATTTAACAAAATGACCTCATATTATTGATGATTTGGGAGTTTTTAAATAATTTTTGATTAATTATTTTTCTCTTGTTACATATCTCTTTTTTTTCTCGTGCCTCTTGCAAACTTCCCTCTTGTCTTGTCTTGTTTCTCTTGCGCTCTTGCGGCATCACTATCATTGACGTGACACTCAATTGCAATATCAAGGTAAATGTATCTATGCTTGGTCCTGTCCATATGCTTGTTCAGATATCGTGCGCTATCACATTTCAATTCTATCAATACTGAACTATGATTGGAGTAATTATTTTAGTTAATAAAAAAAGTTGTAGACACCAATGAACAGTGATTTATTGAAAAATAAGAGAGAAAAATTCCATCCACATCAACTGGTGTGAAAACTCACAGTTGAAAACTTCACAGTTGAGAAACTCACAATTTTTTAATGTTGACATCTCCGTTATAAGATTAAAATAAAATCAAAAATCCTTTGATTGAGGTTTCGAATAGTTAAAAATTCAATAAAAATGCATAAATTACAGTAACATATTAATATTTTATTGAAATGTAGGCAATTAGAAGAATAGGTGGAATGGAAATGGGATTGATCCTATGTTAGTTGGGCAACCAACTGTCAAATGGTAACGGAATGAACGGATGAGAAAATCATTTAAAAGGTTGGACCGTCCCATTGAAACATAATTTAGTGCCTCGAGATATGTTTTAATGTTATGTTATTACAAAATAGAATACTCACGATGTAATTAGTTGGGACATAGACTCTTCATATGATTCAAATTACGAGACGAGGATAGGGACATGTGTCTAAGGTGCATGGGGATAAGAGAGCGAACATAAGGATATGAGACTATCCACGTTAATGGACGATTATTCATTGAAGAATAGTAATTATTATGATTAATATGAATAAATTCTTATTCTGAAGGTTTCACTTTCCGATATCTAATTTAAACCATCGCATCTTCATACTCATTTCCATAGAAATATTGAACTAATAATGTGTTCGCCTTAGCTGAAATGCAGTATAAATATTCATTGAAAACGCGAAAATTCATGGGTATTTTGAACTTTGAGAAGCCTGTATCGGAAAGTACTTCCTAGATTTTCCGAAAAAAAATCTGTAAAACCCAAGAAAAATGAACTGATATTTTGCTTGTAGCACTGAATATTTACATCGAATTGTCTAAGAAATATGAAATTCCTTCATAGTTCCAGGACATGATGCGATAATTTTGTAATCAAAATTGAATAGTTTCGATGTATGAAATTTCTCATTCTTCCAGAATGCGAAGATCCACACTAGAATATGCAGAATGTATTCTTATTTCCCTGAAACAATCAACAAACTCTCTTAAAACCCCTAATTCCCTAGAAATGTTCAAGAAAAATAGTCAACGAGATCACGAAAATTGATGGACATCTTGAATTTTGAGAAGCCCGTATTGGAAATTCTTGTCTGGATGAATGAGAAATCTTTCAAGTCCAAGGCATTGAAGGCAATGACAAGTCATTGAATTGTCAGATTTTCACTAGGAATTACTTGAAATGCCGAATTTTTTAAGGAACACTGAATATTCATGTCAAATCGTTTAGAAAGACGAAATTTCTCGCCAAGTCCCGGACGTGATAAGACAATTTTGTGAATAGAATTAAATTGCCTCGACGAATGTAATTTCTCATATCTCAACGTAGAATACAAATCTGTGCTAAAAAATGCAATGTCAGTCCTCATTTTCTCAGAAAAATTTCCAAAATTTTACTGTATTGTCGAGAATTTGTTGCAATACTATTGCTTCATTAACGAAATTGAACACAAGTAGTCATCGAGGCTATGAAAATTAATGAATACTACGATAGTATTCATGAATTTTCGTAGCCTCGATGACTATTAACAGTAATAATAATAGTATTACTATTACTTTTGAAAAACCCGTGTTAAATTGAAAAATCTGGATCCTTGAATTTTGTCGTTTCCTTTCTGTTGAACTTATTTTTAAAAATGAGTCAGTGTTTCCACGTCTAGACTCCATCCCTAGTAAAAATCCAATGCTGCGTGCACTTCGCTGCAGTGTTCGCGTGCAGCATTGCCTTCCCCAGTGAAGTACCCCACAAAGGTACCTCGCGCACTGTGAAAAAAAAATTACTTTTGCCAAATAAATTTACTAACTAAAAGAAAATCCACACATTTCAAATGCAAATATTTATATACATTTGCTTGTGGCAAGTAAATTTACTTGACAGAAGTAATTTTTTTTCTCTTTCCGCGGTTGCTGGAACAGACACCCGCGGGACGTTCATGCGAGACTGACGTATTTGTATCCGCCCTAACTTCAAATTTCACGAATTCAGTAGCGAAGGACTATCTGCGCATCCAAGGGAGACATTAAAATTTTTGTAATTACCTGTTAGAGATTGAGGCTAATGTTAAGGCGGATTGGGGGGGGGGAGTGTTATTGAAAGGGCGAAAATGAAAATACATGCATTACCAAAAATACTGGCATTATAGCCACGCATCTAGAAATCTCAAGGCTACACTGTTCGTCTCAAATTTAAAGTCGATAACTGTCACACTGCACTGGATAATCTCTTGATATTGAATTTCATAATTGACTCGAAATGATTGATAGTTAACTCGAAATTAATTGATATTTGAATGAAATAGAAACGCTACAGTGAGCGCTAGATGCAAGATAACACGGTGATGTACTCGGTTGAGCGGTTACGTTGATACTGAATTCATATTTGGCGATTTACTCCGTGATTTGACCGTGAATCCGAAGGGTGCGAGTCACTCGAGATTTTCCGAACTTTTAATGATGAATTATTTGCTGCATTTTTAAACATACCTTTTTTGTAGCTCTCAGTTCGCTCTATAAAAAAGTTTATAGCCAAGATTTCGATATCTGCCTTGGATTCAAAGATATTCATTAAAAACTGACCAATAGTTAGAATGGATTTGAACTGTTTCACCGCTTCGTTACTGATTGTGAATTCATAATATTCATATTATCCACATTACTTCAAATGAATTAGTGGAGGATCAACAATTTTCTAAGGACTATTAATCGTACTCGACTAATTACTAATTATTAATATTGATAAAATATATGAAGAAATGTGACTGCACCGCGTCAGTGTCGAACAGGGCTCCAGCAGTAGCGTGGTCGCGGCATACGGCAGCGCGCTTCGTGCGTGAAACATCGCTACAACAGCCAATGTCGCAGAGCCTCTCACAATTTCTAGTAGGGATACTCCAGCTTGATTAATGGACGATGTCGATTTCTCAATGGAATGCAATAACGCGCGGGCAAAAATCCGCAAATGACGCAATACAGAGAAAAAAAAATTATTTTCAGAAAACAAGCCACTGATATTCGGAAACATGTCCCTGATGTCTAGGGATATGTCACTGATTTTTCGAAATCTATCATCAATTATTGGCGATAGTCGACACTGACTAGTATAACTCTGATCATC